TCCCTGTATTTTATGTTGCAATCACAATGAACTCTTTGCAGTTTCCTGAATACAACACCCCTCCCCCATTTCTTGGCATGTGCTATTCCCTCTTCTTGACATGTTCCTTTTCTGTTTGATGATGATGGGATCCTATATTTTTATCTGTATTCCCAATAGAATCTAACAGAATGCTGAGTAAAGATTAGGCAGTCATTAGTATTTTTTATAAAATTGTTTGTGGAAAGACATTTGTCTGGTTCCATTTGGCAATGGAACCCCTGCTGCTCTATGGTGTCAAGGGTAAGAATTGTGGCTTATCTGTGTCCTTGTAGTGCCTCACAGAGTTCTTGACTTAAAGCTGATACATAAAACGATTGTTGACTGAATAAATGGATGATCAATACCCTGTTCTTGCTCACAAAAGCAGTTAGTTATGGGAAAAACTCCTTCAGACTTAAAGTCCTGGCACTCAGAACTCTCCCCACTCTCTCTTGAAACTGCTTTTTGTTTCTTGTTTTTAGCCATCCCAGTATAGTTTCACTAGGTGGAGTCAGTGCCGAGTCATGTCTCTCTCCTTCCACATCTTGGATCCCAGATTAAGATCTTTCACCTTACCCAGGAAAAGAATTCGTGGAATATAACCCCCATCAGGGCTGAAATCTTTATCCTTGGGCTCCTCTTCATCCTATGAATTATAAACCTTAAGTCAGATCATGTTCCCTCTCTCCTCAAATCCTTTCAGTGGCTTCTCCTCTCACTCAGGGTAAAACCCCCAAGTAAGTCATTGCGGTGGCATAAGAGGCCCTACATGATCTGCCACCTGGGCACTTCTCTAACTCCATGTCCTACCCCTTTCTGGGCTATGTCAAGCACACTAATCTGTTTGCAGTTGCTGTCATTAAACAAGCCAGGCATGCTCCTAACACAGGTTTTTGTACTTGGTTTTACCCTATGCATGGATACATTTCCCTCATTATCCTTATGACTCACTTCCTTTTCTGCTTCAAATCTTTGCTCAAATGCCACCTTCTTTGATAACCATGTTTGCAAACTATCCCCTCCACCCTTCAATTTTAGCCACAGCACTTACCACCAGCTGATATTTGTCTGTATTCCCGTATTCAAGTCCCCATAGGTAATTTCAATGAGGGCAAAAACAATTTGTTTTGTTCTTCACCGGTTCTCAAAACATCACTGACTTGGCACAACATTAACTGTTACTGTGTTCAGAAAATTTCTAGTACTGTGTTTAAGTAAACATTATTTTATAGAATGTACATTCAAGCTGTACATTCAAGCCCAGACAGACTTGGCTTTCAACTGAATCACATTTTGCAGGAACTCACAGCCTGCATGTGTGACTATCCCTTTGGATCAGCTACTATACAAAGATGTAAAAACATGTCATAATCATGGGCTAAGAATGAAGGGACCTTAAAGTTCAGTCACCTTATCCAATCCCATCTAGGCCACTTCCTCCCACAAGTGGAGGCTGGACAGTTTTCTACCATGTCTGGCACAAGACTTAGTGTTAAAGGTCAAGAGAAAAATGCATACATATAAGCAGCTAGCTCTGCTAAATAAGATTTTATACTATTAATAATGGCAATTCTGCCGAACCGGTTTGGCTCAGTGGATAGAGCGTCGGCCTGCGGACTCAAGGGTCCCAGGTTCGATTCCGGTCAAGGGCATGTACCTTGGTTGCGGGCACATCCCCACTGGGGGGTGTGTAGGAGGCAGCTGATCGATGTTTCTGTCTCATCGATGTTTCTAACTCTCTATCCCTCTCCCTTCTTCTCTGTAAAAAATCAATAAAATATATTTAAAAAAAAATAATAATAATGGCAATTCTAAAAGAGGGAAGACTTAAGATTAAAACAGAAAGGAGAAACTCTGGAAGTCTTACCTCAAGATTTACCATAATAAAATTATGGGCAAGTTCTGAAATTTCTGTAGATTCAGCAAATTTGGGCTTTAAAGCTGGGGGTGGGGGGGGAGGGGGGGGAAAATAGAAGAAAGCATCATTGTTATATCCAACTCTAATTTGCTGAGCTGATTCATAATTAACCCTTAAATCAGGACACTTGAATTCTGCTTCTGCTTCTGCCACTTACTTGCATAACTATGTGACCTTGAGTGATTGATGTCATTTCTTTAAAGCTTTTACCTCATTTATAAAATATAGATAATGTTGTGTATATATATATATATATATATGAAAAAGTTATTACTATTTGCTTTTTTACACATTTCAATAACTCCTACTAAAGAATAGACAAAAGAGTAACAATATCACTAATGTATTTGTTACACTAATTATTTACACTAATTTTATACAACGTTTCCAACTAGGATTTTGTAAGTATAGCATGAGAAACAAAAGAAAAAAGTCTGACTTGGATGTGGCACGGTGGTATAGCAGAAAAAATACATGCTACCAAGTAAAATAACCTTGGGTTCTAATTTGGTTCTCAAGTTCTGCAGGAAGATTTTCCTAACCTTCTCATGTCTCTCTGTACATTTCAGCTTCTGCTAACATTTACTGTTCATATGACTTTAGCACTTAATCTCATACTCTCCAACCCCCTGCAAATATATATATTTGCAAATTTCTTGGGAGCAGGGAATCTATGTCATATATTTCCTTGGTATCCTTTAAAGCAATCAGCAGTCACTGGGTGAAAGTCACTACTCCTATTTTTAAATGCTAGTATTTCAGAATGCATCTGAGGTTTGATCATTTGTACTTACCTTTGCAAGCTCCACACCAGGATTTATGGATAATCACCATCAGGGGCAATCCACTTAAAAACAAAACAAAGAAATTATAATCTAGCAATTCCACTTCTTGATATCTATCCTAATAAAAATGACCAATTTATGAAGACAAAGATTAATGCACATTCATATAGTATAATTCCAATTGGGAAATTTTTAAGACAATCTATTCAATAACAGATTATTATAACAAAATTACTGATAATTCTGACATTATTGTAAATTCTGTAAATTTGGACTTTAAAGCTAGGGAGAAAAGATTGTAGAAAACATCAGATTTAAATTGTTAAGGTGATATAACTATTAAAAATGTTAATAAAAATTTTCATTGGTATAATTTTAAATTAAAAAATAGAATATAAAATTATTAGTTGCAGTTTGGTTTTAATTATACAAATATGTACAGAAGAGCGAGCCCAAAGGAAATGTAACAAAACATAACAGCAGTTATTCCTGAATAATGGGATTATGGATTTTACTATACTTCTATTTTTCTACAATTAAATGTAATTTTTACAATCAAGGTGGAAAAAAAATTTTTTCTTTTTTTAAATAATGAGTGACATAATCCACCTGAACCAGGCTTGGCCAGATGAAGCTCTCCAAGTTCTCAAGGTTCAAATGACAACTTGCGGGAGGGTCCTAGGTAAGCAGTCATCATCCAACCACCGTATCAATACATCATCATACACTGTATAACACTGTATTTACTACACTGATTTATTATATTTACCCATCTCCCCCCACCAGACTTGGATCCTTAAGGAACTCTTAGCTGTTTCTATATCCCCTACATCTGGCATATAAAATCATATTGATAGCAAACACGCACGTAGCATTTAATTTGTACTGGGCACTACTCTAAATACACATCAACCAATTAATTCAGTAAGTGTCAAATGAATTATCAACTCCTCATCAGAGGCCTACTAAAAACTTAGGATAGATTTCTGCCTCTAAATACTTGTAAAAAGCTATAAAGCAAATGAGTAGGGCAAGCTTAGGTGACAAGTGGGACCCAGGTAACTATAACAATAGGCAAAATGTAATAAACTTTTATTATGAAACATGGTGCTATGTGCTTTATATGCATTATCTCACTTAAATCCTTACAATAATCCTTAGAGATATTATTAATAGTTTCATTATAATAACGAGAAAACTGAGACTCCAAAGAGATTAAATATTTGGCCACATAAAATCTAGATTCTGCAATTTACTAATTGATAAATCTGACTCCAAAACTAACGTTCTTTCTAACCAGTATAGTTTACTACAATTTAAAATGGCAATCCAGAATTCATTGGAAAAGGACTTAAAAATTTCTTAGTCCAAACCTCCATTTGTAGCAGGAATCCTCGCTCATATATCAGAAACAAAAGGTGGTATAGGGATTGCTTGATAAGCAAGAAATACATTACCAACCATGGCAACCTATTTTTAAAAATATTTTTTTAACATATCCCTGCACTTACAGAAAAATCTGTATTGCTCTCTCTTTTCTCCAAAGCAAACTGCTGTTCAGCGTTCTGGAACAGAGGTCAGCAAATTACAATCAGCAGACCTAATCAAGCCCACTGCCTACTTCTGCAGAGCTCTGAGATACAAATGATTTTTACATTTTTAAATGGTTGAAACAAGTCTAAAGAATAGTACCTTGTGATATGTTAAACATAATTCACATTTCAGTGTACATGGTTTTATTAAAACACATTGATACTTTTTCTTTCTTTTAATTCTCACCCAAGGACTTATTGATTTTTTTTTAATTTTCATTTTTTAGAGAGGGAGAAAGAGAACATTGATTGGCTACCTCTCATACATGCCCCAACTGGCATTGAACCTACAACCTAGGCATGTGCCAACTGAGCCACACCGATCAGAGCTCATTTTTACACTATCGCTGCTTTTGTGTCACAGTGGCAAAGCTGATAAGCTGCAACAGGGAGGCTGTGATCCACAAAGCCTAAAATATTTACTATTTGGCCCTTTGCTGACCCTTGTTCTAAAGTGACAGTTCACATATTAATCCCTCTGAAGCCTTTGCAAAACCATCTTCTCTCAACACCTAGTTAATCCTTTCCTCCTCTGGACTCCTAAAGCATTCTGTGTCCACCCTCTAGCCACCAGGCCCTTATGTCCTGTAATCATCTGTTTACTTGTCTGTATTTCCCAACAAACTATTAACCTCTCAAGGGCAAATATTACCCAATTCTTTAAAAAATCACAAGCACTGGTAAGACAGGTACCTATCGTTTGTTTAATAAATAACCAACGGAAGAATGAAAGACAAACTTAAAGCGACATTTGCCTCAGAACACAGAGTGAAGCACAAATTACAGAAGTGACAATCCCTCTAGATTAAAACAAAATATCTCAATACGCACTATTGACGTACTATTTCAAAGGCACAGCAGAAATATGAGTTGGCAAAAGTAGGTTTACAGTTGTTTGTATGGAAAATAATACAAGAATAAACTTTCATGTACTCACAACTGTAGACCTACTTTTGCCCACCCCTGTATGTAGATCTAAAATGTTATATTAATTATATGAAGAACATTAAGTTACATTAAGTGAAAGCGATTCCAGCCGACTCTTTCTAAAAGGTTTTATTAAATGAAATGATCTAGCTTCCCAAGGACAGAAACCAGTGGATTTATCTGTGACCCCCAGACCCGGGATAGACTAGCAAACATCTTAGGTACAGTACTAAAAAAACTATTTGTGGTATGAAAGAAGGGCCAGTGCAGATGCAGAACTGTGCCATCTTAAGTTTCTGTTCACAAGTGTTTTTAAAACAATTCATCCATCCAGGCTGCTTTCCCACAGTTCAGCTGGGGGAAGTCAATGCAGTGTGATATCCCAAGTAGATCCCAATCTAAGCGGGCCCTGTCCATCTGAGCTCTGTCCTCTGAGGAAATTTGCCAAGATCCTTCAAGCTAGTTCCCCAGTTTTTCTAGTCTCAGAGTATGCTCTGAGTCTAAACTCAAGGCCTGGCACAGGGGCATTCTGCAAAGTGTGAGTCAGTCATAACAGCTCTAGTACCGCACATCAGTATGCTCTGCAGACCTTCAGATTATTCTTCTCAGAGAAATACAGGGCAGTAGAGGTTACACAAGGAGCCACGGCCAGTCCCCAAACACCTCTGGTTAGAGCAGGCTCTGGTTCAGATACTGCAGAAACATGCTGGCCAACTGAGGCAGGTTCTCATTATTGGGATGCGTTTTGGTGTAGGAAATAAACTGGCGTCGGAGGCGGCTCAGTTCGGCCATGGACAAAGGCCGGGTAAACTGAAGGTGTTCCGTGGTCCCAGGAAGCCTAAGCAAGTCTCCGGGGACTGCGCTCTTCTGCGCTTCCATCAGTCCCGCCAACACCTGGCTGGTGACCTGATCCAGCTGGTGCAGAAAGCTGCCCGAGGCAAGGGGCTGGGACTGGGTAGACTGATGGGGTGGAGGAGCACGGTTCTCAAAAAGGGCAGCCCGGATCTCTGCGAGGGGCAACGGCTCCTCTAAGCCCACCAAGGTGAACAGGGGTCTGTCCCAGCGGTTCCGCGAGTCGGGAGCCTCGAAGCGCAGCATTAGGGCCTCTAGAAGTTCGGGAGGGTACAAGGCCCTGGACACATGGTTTGCCGCTTTCTCGAAATCAGGGATCACGGAAGCTGGGAGATCTGGCGTCCCGGTTTCCTTCGGCTCCAGTTCCGTAAGTAGGTGTGCCTGGGTTCCCCCATTTACTACCGAGTCCACTGCTTGCGCTTCCCTAAGGACGCGGGCGCCCGCTGCCGGAGGTCCCCCTCCCTCTTGGGCGCGCGGCCGCCAACTCACACTGACGTTCCGGCTCTGCTTCTCGTCCGCAGCCGCCACCCGCGGTCCGCCGCTCGGACTGCCAGGCCGCACGCAGTACACCAGGCAGAGCGGGGTGCGCGCCGCCCGCGCCAGGCAGTAGAGCTCGTAGCGGAAGCCCTTAATGTAGTTAATGGAGTCAAGGATGACCACCTCGTGACGACTCAGGCGCCGCTCCACGGCAGCGCGCAGGGCCCCCCGCAGCGCCTTCTCGCGGGCCGAATCGCCGTACACTGTCGGGTCCTCCGCCCCCAGCACCGCCGCGTCGTCCACCACGTACACCGCGTGGCCCTCGGCCGCCAGCGCCCCGCGGAGCTCCTCTGCGCGTCGGCTCTTGCCGCAGTACGGCAGCCCGCAAAACACTACCAGCGGCATCCTCCCAGGGCGCGGCCATGTGCAACCCGCACGTCAACTTCCGGGCTGCCGGCGTCTAAGACGCAAACCGGAAGTGCAAACTGAACTTCCGGCAGGCCTTGGCTCTTATAGGACCTCTTGTTGCTATGGAAACGAGAGTCCCAGCCAACTAGACCCAGGTCCTCTTCTCTCGGAAAGGAGATAAGAGACTAGAATGGCATCATTTATTTATGTCAAATGTTACAGGCCTCATGGGAATGTTATCTCTCTGTGGCCAAGGACTTTACCCATTCATTTCTAATGGGGCCTTTGTGAACATTAAATATTGCAAAAACAATCAGACCTATATTTAGTATATAGAAGACAATTCACAAATGCTAGTTCCCCTTCATTCCTTACAACCAGTGACTCTCAATAACTGTTTATTCAATAGCCATTTCAGTCACTCAACATCTCCGTGTTTGGGGATTCAGAGATGAACATAAAACAGTTCCCCTATAGGAGATCAAGGGTCTGAATGGGAAGAGTTAGGCACCTACAAGCAGAATAATATATACTCCTAGAGGCCCGATGCATGAAATTTGTGCAAGAGTAGGCCTTCCTTCCCCCGGCTGCCTGCGCTGGCTTCCCTCCGGCTGCCGGCAGGCACCCAGGCCCCAGGTTTCCCTCTGGCACCCAGGACTGGGCTTCCCTCGGCTGCCAGCAGGCACCCAGGCCCCAGGCTTCCCTCACAGCCCCAGCTTCATCCAGAAGGTCGTCCGGAAGGATGTCCAGAAGGACATCTGGTCTAACTAGCATATTATGCTTTTATTATTATAGATAATGGAGGGTGGATATAGGTTGGGTTGTAACAGTACAGGGAAAAAAAACACAAACTGCCCAGAAAAATCACTGAAGACTTTATCTAAAAACAGCCATTTGATTTAGAACTTCAAAGACTAATAGGAATTTTTCTCCTAAGTAAGGTTGCCAGATAAAATACATAATGCTTAGTTAAATTTGAATTTCATATAAACAACAAAAAATTTTTTGGGTTTTTTTAAAAATATTTTTTTTTTTTTACTGATTTTAGATAGAGGAAGGGAGAGAGATAGAAACATCGATGAGAGAGATCCCCCACTAGGGATTGAGCCTGCAACCCAGGCATGTGCCCTGACCAGGAACTGAACCAAAGCATGATTTCCTGGTTCATGAGTCGACGCTCAACCACTGAGACACATTGGCCAAGCAAAAAAAAAATTTTTTAATATAGGTATGTCTCAAACATTACATGAGGCATATTTAAAATTATTGTTTACCCAAAATTAAAATTTAACTGAGCATCCTTTATTTTTATTTACTAAATCTGGTAATCCTACTCTAATTCAGAAGGTATGAGACTCAGAACCATGAAGCTGTAGAATCTGTTCTAGCAAAAGCAAACACTATAGTTTGTGTTTCTGTGCAAGTATATGTGTGTAAGGTAGGTGCACATAAGTATATTGGGTCTTTGTATTTCTCCAAAACATTTAAGTCTTGGCTCTGCCACTTACTAGCCGTGTAAACTATTGTCAAGTTATTTAACCATTCTGTATCTCAATTTCCTCTCCTGCATAATAGTTCTTTTTTATATATATATTTTATTGATTTTTTACAGAGAGGAAGGGAGAGAGATAGAGAGTCAGAAACATCGATGAGAGAGAAACATCGACCAGCCGCCTCCTGCACATCCCCCACCGGGGATGTGCCCGCAACCCAGGTACATGCCCTCGACCGGAATCGAACCTGGGACCTTTCAGTCCGCAGGCCAACGCTCTATCCACTGAGCCAAACCGGTTTCGGCAATAGTTCTTACTTCACAGGCGGAACCAACCTTAGAGGTTGTGAGGATTAAATGAATTAATGCATACAAAGCACTTCCCTTCCCTGCTCTGCCTTTTTCTCTCCCTTTGTATCAGTTATCTGTGCATAGACTTGGAATTTTAAGACTACTCAACTTGAGACTAGTAGCCAGTATGGTTTACTGGTTGAGTGCAGGCTCTGAAGCCAGAATGCCTGCATCTGAATCTTGGCTTCACCACTTACTAGCTGTGTGATTTTTGGCAAGTTACATAATTGCTCTATGCCTTAGTTTTCTTATCTTCAAAATGAAGGTAACAACCCACCTCAAAAGAGTTATTGAGAATTAAATAAGCTAATTCACATAATTCAATGTCTGGTGCATAGTAAGCACTAACTAGATGTTAGATAGTATTAGTGTTGTTGTTATCATGCAAGTATTCATTTTTGCTCTGCTTTGGCATGACCTTCACATACTAAAATGTCCGAAAAGTGTTTTACCACCCTAAATAATCTAAAACCATATCTTATACCTGGCAGCTGCTTCTCTCTTCCCGTCTTCTAGTGTCCTCCAATGAATGTGATCTCCAAAACCTAGAAGAAAAGAGTAATAAACATTCACACATGAATAAAGAGCAAAGACCCAAGAAAGAAGTGTGGCATGTTCACCCATAAAAAAGGCTTTCCTCTATCAAGAGCATGGTGTTCAAGTCCCTGCTCCACCACTTTCTGGGTTTTTTGGACCATGGACTGTCCCATACCTCAAGCTTCACTTTTCAGACCTGTAAAATGGAGATAACATTGCCTACTGATAGTTTTTAAGGAAAATAAATAATGTCTGTAAAATGCTTTGTAATCTAACACAGAGTATGCAAATAATACAATAAGAGTGAATGGGAATTTTCCACAGAGTAAACATAAAGCAGGTCATAACAAATCATTACTAGTTGAAGACAATTCAGCAATATTGCTTTTGAGTCTGAAAGAGATGGATGACGACTCCAATGCCTATTAAATGCATGAACTTTGTGTATAAAGTAAGCTCTCCAAGTCCCAATTTCTTCATCTGTAAAATCAAGATAATATACCCACCTCCCAGTGTGGGTGTAAGGATTAAATGAGATAATATTTTTAAAGCTTTTCTTGTCTTAATTCCCCACACTTCAGCCAGAGTGATATTTTAAAATCACATCTCTGATGGGTAAAAACTTTTCAGAGGCTTTCCAAGCCCCCAAAAGGAAGGCCAAACTCTTGCAGCAGGACTTACAAAGCCTTTCAGAACATGGCACTTGCCCACCTCTCCAGGCTCACTTTCCACACTTTTCCTAAAATCTTACACACAAAGCTTCTTTCAATTCCTTAAATGCAGCATGCACTTTCTCCCCTCCAGCTTTCATAATCACTGCTCCTCCTGCCTTTCCTTCCACCTTCACCTCCCCTTCATTCTTCAGGTATAAACCTAGAGGGCATTTCTTCTAGTGAATCTTCCCTGATTCCCATGACAGCACTTACCAGGCTGAATTGTAAATGTTGGACATGGTTCCCTTTACCCCAAAGCGAATTCCCTAAGAGTTGGGAACATAACTGTCTTATTCCCTCCTGTTTGCCTAGCTCTTAGCTCTATACATGGCCAAGGAAAGTGCTCCATAAAGTATTTTATTGAGTAAATGAATCTTATTTCAGCCATAACATAAATTACTCAATTTTATATCTGGAAAATGTTAGTGATCATAATAATGCTAGCTGCTATTTCTGGACCACCTTCTATATTCTTGGCACATCACATGTGTTACCTCATTTAAATTTGGCAATAATTTATAATAATCCTCTCTTACTTAACCTCTCTATACTTGTTTTCTCATCATTAATATAGGTATAAGTGATCAGTAAATGGCAGTGTTTGTTATCTTTACAGTTGAGACTTCTGAGGCTCAGAGAAGTTACATAACTTGTACCAGGTCACAGAGCTGGTAAATGGTCAAGTTGGGATTTAAACTTCAATTTTATGACTTTTCAATTACTATACTATCTCTCACGCCTTTCTTTCCTAGAAATAAATTCAAATTTCCATCACTGTTAACACAGAGGAATAAATAGCTCATTCAGATTAGCACATGGGGGCAAAATCCAAACTAACCATCACCCTTTTCATTCCCAACAGCATGGGCTGTTGACCCAGAGGAAATGTGTCGCTTGCCGAGGGCCCAAAGTCTAATCCTGAATAGTGAACAATTACATAAGAGTACAACTGGGAGGATGTTCAGGAGAATTGGAAGGTACTTAATGTGATCACCATCATTCTACTTGTCAACACCTAAACTCAGGCAACTTAATCCTGCTTTGGCAGGATGCCCAACTAGACAACTCTGTCTATCCCCTCCTCCTCCCTCCCTTTCACTCTCTCTAAAAACCAATGGAAAAAAATACCCTGGGGTAAGGATTCAGAAAAAGTGTTTGGATTTGTATATGTTCATTTTGAGATGCTTACTAGACATCCAATTGGAGATGCTGAATGAACAACTGAATATCTGAACCTGAAATGCAAAGGAGTTATGAGCATATGAATGTAGTTTAAAGCCTGAGACTGAATAAGATCCAACAGGAGTGAGTATAGATGGAGAGGAAGTCCAAGAGCCCTGGAGTCCTCCCAGGGAGATAAAGAATAACTAGCCAAGGCCACAAGAAGGAACTGCCAGTGAGATCGGCAGAAAACCAGCAGTTCGTGGAGTCCTACAATCTAAGTGTTTCCAAGATGCTTCACGAAGGAAAGGTGATCAACTGACTCCACTATTCCTGTTAAATCAGAAATGACCACTGGATTTAGCAACTGAGGAACAGTGCTGACTTTGGCAAGACCAGCTTCAACAGAGGAGTGAAGATGACAGCATAATTAGAGCAAATCAAGATAGCCCAAAGGAAGATTTCTAGAACTAGGACACACAGCACTTTCAAATAATTTTGCTGAAGGGTGAAAAGGGCATTGCTAAAGGGAGCTATGAGTTGAGGAAGGGTTTTAACTCAATGGAAAGGGAAGTATAGGATGTTGAAAGCTGATAGAAATTATATAATAATGGAAGAAAAGCTGATGATACAAGATGAGAAGAGAGGGTAAAAAAACATCGTGAGCCCTAGCGATTTGGCTCGATGGATAGAGCGTTGGCCTGTGACTGAAGGGTCCTGGGTTTGATTCCAGTCAAGGGCACATGCCTGGGTTGCTGGCTCGATCCCCAGCGTGGAGCATGCAGCCAATCAATAAATCTCTCTCATCATTG